TTAGCACAACATAGTCAGTATCACTGACTTCCTTATCAAGAGCATATGGCTCTTGGTTCCTTGCACGTAATAGTTGGTCAGGGATGGGCAAAAATGCTGAAACTTTATCGCCAGGACAGAAATGTCTGTCTTTAGACTTCTTGTCATTCAATTCATGTACTTTCATAGTGTCCTGGGATCCTTTCATATTATTCCAGGCAATTTCCCAAGATTTCGTAACTCTTGAAGACAAAAAGCAGCAAGGAATTTATCCTCCTTATTAACAAATTATATAAAAAGAATGTTGCATTTCAATGCCTATTATCTGACAACATTACGTATTTATCACCTGTATCATCATTTATACAGACGTCCATATAGATTTCGTTAACCTTTTTCTTCAGAGACATAACATGTACTGACCATAATTAAAAAAAATATGTTGCATTTGTGTACAAAATATATTAATTTTTCTTGTCATGTCTCCCCTGTACATAAAAATGTGGCCTCGCTTAGCCCTGCTCCAAGGCTGCACTGAATACTAAGCCCATGGATGTATAGTAATTCTATCCTTTAAAGATGCAAGTCTAGATAAGGGGACAGCACGACCTGTTAGGGGGATATTTATATTTTGTAGAAATTCGCATTTAAACTATTAATTATTACCTTAGAGACTTGAGCGAGGGACCTATTTACAATCCCTTGTAGGTGTTTGAGCGTTTCAGGAAGAATTGGGGACTCGTTAAAGATGAAAATTCTCATTCAGTGTTATAACATTCAGATATCGAAGTCAATGCTCTTGAACCGGAGAGCATAAAATGCATGGTCTTTGATTCATCGTAGTTGAAATATGGAAAAAGATGTTGAAAACATGTTGCAAAGATGGCCTGGCATAATTCGGAGTTCGTATATTTTATGATGACTGTAGTGTGGAGGCAGATACTATACACTGGATATATGGTCTCTGGGGAAACTACTGACAATGCAGTTTTAGTACAGTATACCCAGAGTAATTCTATAATAGAGATATTTTACTACAAGTGTGTCACGTAGTAATAACCTGATGCTGCAGATCACAATACTACAGTGAGTGAGTGAGTATGGTTTTTACGCCGCTTTTAGCAATGGTCCCCAATAAAACACATTAAATACGACCTGGGTTAAATAGATACTAGGAGAGAGAAAAAAACGCTGGATCCATATATACAACACACGGCACTTACTGTGACAGGTTATCAATTTATAAATTGACAGCTGCCGTTGTATAATTTCAAGCAAACAAAGAAAGTTGAAATTTACGCGGAGCTTATCGAAACAGATGCAAAATTATAACCAGAGCTGCAACAGCGATTCAGGAGTATTTTTATCAATGATAGAAGGTTACATTTCTGTAACGCATTTCAGATTACAATTTATCCATACCTGGTAAGCTGTAATAATTAAATTTCTAACTACGATTGAATCAATACTTGATTATGCTATTTCAATATTGATCACGCAAAACCACTGGCACCAGGGTATATATACTCCTTGTGTTTGCACTATCAAATGGAAAGGGATGCAACGATTTGAATAGTGAGTGAGGTTAGTTTTACGCCGCTTTTAGCAATATTCCAGCAATATCACGGCGGGGGACACCAGAAATTGGGTTCACACATTGTACCCATGTGGGAAAGCGAACCCGGGTCTTCAGCGCGACGAGCGAACTCTTTAGCAACTAGGCTACCCCACCGCCCATCGAGGTGAACAGATCCTTGATTGATCAGCCCAGGTTAACTTGGATTCACACGGGTTGAAATGAACCGCAAGCACTGTCTCCTATTAAAGGGACATTCTTCACAATTCGCCCCTCCCCTAGCCTGCGTCCCAGAATGGCACAGATGTGTTGGGCAGGGGATAAAGGCCGGGTTTCAATGATATGTGATAGCCAGTCTGGTTCCCTGGGAATGCTGCGCTAGCGCTTACTTACACGCGCTTCACTGTGAGTGCCGCCAGCGCAGAATACTCAGAGAACCAGACAGTGTGGTAGCGAGCAAATGAGTCTCAATGGTAATTGGTAACAGAGCAGGGTACGGTTCTTAAACAAACAAATCTTAGCTCCAGGACGATCTCGGGGTGGTGGTGTAGCCTAGTTTATTAAAGTGTTCACCCGTCTCTCCGGAGACCCGGGTTTGATCCCCACATGGGAACAACGTGTGTGCCCATTTCTGGTGTCCCCTGCAGTGATATTGCTGGAATATTGCTAAAAGCGGCGTAAAACCATACTCACTCACTCACTCACTCTAGGACGATCTAAGCTGTTGCACTTTAATTCCATTACTTTCTGAAACGGGACAATAACTCGTAACATATGCTTCTAACATTCCATTGTTTTGAAATAGATTTCCTATCGATATGTGCTTAGTCATACATATTATAACCCTGAAGTACTTTTATTTGATTCTTGAAACCTTTACCCTTATTTGCTGAAACAGGATATCATAAACGCTTGCATTTTGGATAATAGAATATGTCAACTGTGGCACGAATACAAAAAACTGTGAATTCAATACTCAAAGTCCAAAGGATGTTCAACAGAGGTGACAGGCTGAAGGCGGTGTTTGGACACACCAGGTGTTCCCCGATATAAGTAGATACAGTCAACTGGTGGTGGTTGAACACTATTAAATAAAGCCACATTCAAGCCACGTGATTGGACGTGAGCTGAAATGGATTTAATATCGAGGTTATGATTACTGCAAGTAGGTACGACTAACGATGTGCGCGCCTATTTTTCTCTGTACGATATTTGTGCGTGTGCGTGTGCGTGCGTGTGCGTGTGCGTATATTAAGCTGGTTCTGCATTGCGAGCCCATTGACAAACCATGATGCCGATTATTATAGACACACCGCCTTGACACAGTGTACCGGGGCGGAGGGGTGGTTAAATCGTTCGCTCGTCACGCCGAAGACTCTCGTTCGATTCCCCACATGGGTACAATGTGTGACGCACATTTCTGGTGTCCCCCGTCGTGATATTGCTGGAATATTGCTAAAAGCGGCGTAAAACCATACTCACTCACTCACTCACTCACAGTGTACCAACTCCGACCCGCCCAGACCTTGTTTATATCCAATTGATGTCGTTCAGCAGGCATTTAAACAACAAGTACCTGATTTTAACAGAAGTGTGGCCCGGACAGGGATCTCCAACGACATAATCACAGCGCCTTTTAATCAGCCGTCCTGTTTACTTTTAAATTAACATGTAGTATTTCATTATTTATAAAATTTGAACAATTACTGCATGGGTGTTTATTGAACTGGTTATACGAACAACAACGGCAGTTTGACATCGCCCTTTTGTGGCGTCATCACACATTAGATTCCGGTGTTTTTGTTCTCTTAAATATAAATTATTTTATCTCGTGTGATGAAAAATACCCTAACCCCTGCACTCTCCAAAAAAGATCAGCTTTATCTTCCTATGCCTACATAATTTAAAGAATTGTTTCCAATGCAAAGCGATTCGATCCACAACAAAAATATTTCAAAGCTTTTAAAAAGTGATCTAATTTAAAAAAAAAATGTATATATATATGGTCTCTGGTGAAGGTGAACAACATTTATTTATGTATGTATTTTTTAAATTTATTTCATTGGGTATATGAAACATAACTTCGCAATATATCACGAAAGCGACTGCACATGTATCTATTACATGTTTCTAAGAAGGAATGGGAGCAATTTAAGGTATAAATATTTTTAAAACCCTAACCGAAACATGAGTCTCATTAACCTATTCAGACAATCACCTACTTTTCAGCCGATCCGAATTTTCTCGTGTAAAAGTGAAAATAGACATCACAAACAACTATGGTTACACTGAATTCCAATTCCTTGTTTCATAAGAATATGGTTTTTACAAATGAATTTTAATTTTAAACTTTAATAACATCGTATTTCTATATTTTATGGCGAGGTGTAGGCAGCATGACCTTTAACTAAGACGTCACAGACTGCCCCAGTTTGAGGAGGTCGTAAAATGATTCACAATACATCTGGCGCACTGGTTACACCTGTTATGTGTTTTTGTTTGCTTATGCCGTGTAGAACTGTGACGCACGATGTGATTGATATAATATCAAGTCCGTACCAGACGCCAAACATTTCTAGCGGGAGAGCCTCGTTTTGAGATTTCCACGATTTCCAGGTTTCCATTTGTCAGAGCTCGCTGTACGACAGAGCACGCTGCACGACGTGTTTGCAAGGATTAGAAGGAGCGTAGTGTTGCAATTTACAAGTGCTTAGATGTATCAAATAATACTGATTAATAATTATGTATCCAGTTAAATGAATTGGTCTCAAAATTCTGGACTGGCTATTGTTGCGCAATAGGACGGGACCCAGTCAACAGGAAACGACACTGTTGCGTAATCAATGTTTTGACTTGTAGGTCTGTATAAGAATACTTATATTATAAATTGTCTTACAAAATATCTATTTTTTGCCATGAAAAAAACGAAATAAATTTCTTTCAGTCTTCGTACCCACAAATGTATAATTGTGCAGCTCTCATAATGTTGTACCGTGCTCTAATGATTGTATATTCTGTACACCTGATGTATAATGGGCATGTGGCCCCTTTACTGAATAAAACTCTCTCTCACTCTCTGTAGGTTTGTAGCTCTTTTAACCTCCGTGAAGATCCGGGTTAGAATTGGCCTTCAGCAACCCATACTTGTCATAGAAGGTTTCTAACAGGATCGGTTGGTCAGGTCAGAGGTACAGAGCCACACAGAGAAAGTGCGGCACACTGATCATGGCCATATTCCGTTCACGCTGGGACACCATCAATAGATTTCAGCCATTCTAACAACGTAGGAACCGTACACAGATAATGTACACAGGCTACCGGATTCCTCCACTTACATTGTTTTACCGTTTAGTAACTCGTGACAGAAATAAGAACACACCTGGCCATGCCCATCGCTCAAAACGGCCCAATGTCCTCCGGCCTGGAACAACAGCTGGAGCTCGCTCAGGAAATAATCGAATTGGTCTTAGTACTAGTTGACGCTTATATTGCACATACATCGATTATTATTGAAATTCAGCCTTCATTCGTTAACAGAGTATAGTTCAACGTGGAGTTACAGAAACACCGGCCATATTTCGGAGTGTTTGGATATACATGATTTCGTCTTGCCAGACCATCTTGAGTGAACTTGGGCTAACACACCATGGCGAAATTACTCACGATGACGAGGCGATGGCTACTTCGTGCACTCCGGCCAAGGCCGTAAGTCTTGTGATTAATTGTTTAAATTAGAATGTTTTTTTCATTAAGCATTACTATGTTTCGTGAAAGGGCGATTTCTACCAAACGGTGTTTGTTTGACGAATTCGCAACGATCTTCTGTGGACATAAATAATATGCATCGAAGTCTGCATTTCAAACAAAGCGTGCAAGTTCAAATTACGCTCACTGAAAACGTTGGGCAAGCGTAACATTATTTCGTTTTCTTCCTACACCGTGCTACAAACTTAGTGTACTTAAAATGAATTAAACATAAATATTGTGTCCACAAAATACTAAGAGGTCGTGTCTTTTGTTACACCAAGTGTGTTTTTATTCGTGCCTTGCTTTGTCGACAACAAAATATTGAGTTAAAATCGTCTGTCATTAATTGCTGATTTCCTGTAGCACATTTAATAAAAACGGTGACCCGATGTGTTTTAAAAATGTCTATATGTGTCTTGTATGTCGAGTATATTCAAGATGGCTACCCATCATGGTTGAGACTATTCTGACATATATATTGAGGGAAATACTACATTGCAACCTGCTGTTATGAATATTGTCAATAAATACGTGAGTTGTTATCAAATATTGATTAAAATTGTATCGTCCAATCCAAAGTAGTGTCCGTTAGATACATCATACTTTCTGATTACATTATCTCTATACCTAATTTTGCAACAAGATAGATCAATATCAGTTTATTGATCTGTACGTTTGATCATTTATAAACTCTTTAAACACGAGCAAAGTCCTCACAGCAGTGATGAAAGTGTATTCTTTTTATAATCATTTAACTCTCGACTAAAAAACACAAGGCGTTTAATGCGATCACAGAATGTACAAGAGCGGGGCGGTGGGGTAGGTTTGTGGTTAAAGTGCACGTGAATACCGGGTTCGATTCCCCACATGGCTGCAGTGTGTGAAGTCCATTCTTGGTGTCTTACGATATTTAGGAATATTGCTAAAAGCGGCGTAAAACTAAACTCGCTCACTCTATCCACAAGAGATGACAGAAAGTTTGGATTCTAACAATACTTCGTATGAATACACAATGCCATTATTTGGGATTAAACTTTCTCAGTAAAATACAGATTCTAGTACATTTGTTAGGTTGAGACCCATCAGGGATTCGAACCCACACTCTCAGAGTCAGGCACCTAGTCGCCAGCACACAAAGTCAGCGATCTAACCCACTCAGCCACCGATCTTCCACTTCTTGAAGGGGCGGTGGGGTAGCCTATAGGTTAAAGCGTTGGCTCGTCACGCCGACGACCCGGGTTCGAATCCCCACATGGGTACAAAGTGTGAAGCCCATTTCTGGTGTTCCCAGCCGTGATGTTGCGGCGTAAAACCAAACTCAGTCAGTCAGTCAGTCCACTTCTTGAAAGTTTGCATGGTCAGTAAGCTACGGTTATAACGAGCTCGGGGCGGTGGGGTAGCCCAGTGGTTAAAGCGTTGGCTCGTCACGCCGAAGACCCGGGTTCGATTCCCCACATGGGCACAATGTGTTAAGCCCATTTCTGGTGTCCCCCCGCCGTGATATTGCTGGGATATTGCTAAAATCGGCGTTAAACTAAACTCAGTCAGTATAACGAACTCCAAGGGACCACTAATGTTAGTTCATCATAGCCGTATTTCGTTATACGCTTTTTTGGATAAATATACAGCAGGTGTCCGGGGCCATGCGGTGGGGTAGCCCGGCAGTTAAAGCGTTCGCTCGTCACGCTGAAGACCCGAGTTCGATACCCCACTTGGGTACAGTGTGTGAAGCCATTTTTCGGGTGTCCACCGCCGTGATATTGCTGGAATATATTGCTAAAAGCGGCGTAAAACCATTCTCACTCACTCACCATGCTTACGGGCTATATTTATACTACATACACAAACAGGCAGGAAATATCTGTAGCCCGAAGTGATTGTTGATGAAAGTGTACACAATAGGCCACCGTGCTGTCATCCGTTCAACAGGGAACGAGAGAGCCTAAACGATGATCAAAGGTTAAAGACCTGTAACTGCTACCGCAGTATTGAAAATATAAATGATATGATTACTGATGATCGACGACTCGCTACACGTCACAGAACCAATGAAGTAGGCATATCTCATACGAGAGACGTGTTCTGACGTCTAAACTGGGCACTACAAAGGTATCAGAACGCTGGGTTGATATGCGTCATCATCATCATCATCATCATCATCACCATCATCATAACATATATGTGTTATGTCGTGTCCATCGTCGACGTTGTCCAATAATATGTGCCAGGTATCAGAACATAGTATTGGTGGTTTGGGAACTGTCTCGAGGCCGTTCTAAGGTCCAATGTCCGCCCTAAAATGTGTGACAATGTGTGATTTTTAACCCCGTACCTCAATACCCTTGAAACACGGGTGACCCAGGCGTCTATCTCGCCGTAATTGCCAGTGCAGAGCTGCGCTCAGTCAGTGACATCGATCGTTGATTAAGCCATGAACCACAGGTTGATTTGCTGTACTGTTCAACGGATCAGTGTATGTTGCATTCTCAGCACCGTACTAGTATACGTGGGATATTTCTGACTAGAAAACCATTTTGCTTGAAATACACTGCCAAACGTTGAACTGACGAAGGAGTGAGTGAGTGAGTGAGTTGGGTTTTACGCCGTTTTTAGCAATATTCCAGCAATATCGCAGCGGGGGACACCAGAAATGGCAACTGTCTGAAATGGCTGTCCTTACTAAAGCACTTGTCATCAACATTCTTGGGTCTCTTGTGACAGTGCTTTATCACGTGACTGACGGGAGTGAAAATTCACTGCAAAATTTAATAAAAAATCGAATACAAAAGACGCACACATTTAGGAGGGCAGGAGGCTTATTCATAAAGAGTAATATGTGTGTTCTGTCGTGTGAAATATATATGTATGATTTGTGCAAAACTAGTATTTTCATCAGTCTGATATTTCCGGCTACTACTGCCATAGATTCAATGCATGACTTGCGTTGTTCAGTATATCTATATATAAACTATATATTGCTAGTCGATTACCAGCCACATGACTACATGTATAGCCTGCAATATGACTATATGTGTAACTAGGTGTATAACGGCTACATGTATACACAGTATAGTAAGAACAGAAACGATAATGTATTTACAACACTGTGGTTCAATTTATTACACTGCCATATGACACAATACTGTACCACGTGCAACGACTGAAGTGTTACTTGTGTTACGATTTAAGTGTTTTAAAATTAAATTATTACGATAAAATACAAATTCAGTATCCAACTTTTGTCTGAACATTTTAAAGCTTTTGTGATGGAACAGCCTTAGGAAATTAATCTTGCTGCATCGAAATTACGTTATCTCAAATTTCACCTACGACGAAATAATACATACGCATTTAAAGATTACAGAAAAAGAATATGTGTTGTGAATCCCTCACGACACATAAGCCATAGTTTCTCACTGGTAGACCCTAATTGTGAAAACTGATTAAAATGTGAAAATGCGACAAATGTGATGACGTCGTCAAGGATAAATGTCACTATGGACAAAAAAAGGAATATGGATGGGATGGTTTAAACAATTTAAAAACAAAAATTACTAAGTAAAAATTCTGATTTTTGTATCTGTACCTCACATTTGAAAAAAATACCGGATAATTCCTTGGACATTTAGAAAAAAATATGTTGATCAGGTTAGACAGTTAATCCAGGTTAGTCGATCTGGATTCGAACAGGTTTTCAGCAACCCATGCTTGTCGAAAGATGCGACTGATCGGGTTGTCAATGTCGCGGACTTGTTTGACAGATGTCATCTTATCCCAATTGCGTAGACCGATGCCCATGATGTCAATCACCAGATTTCCTTTCGAAGAGTCATGTATGTTTGGGCGGCCATTGAGGGCACTTTGCTGAGTGCCACCTTATTTACCAAATGAACACTTGTTTACTTCGCAATGTATAATTCAGTAAATATATTATATGTGTTAAATACTCAACCTTTGTAAGTGAATTCATTTGTCCTAAAAATACGTTACACTGAAATTACCTGTGAAACTGGGCCCCTGCAGCAAAACATTTATATTCCTATTAATAATGATTATAATGTAATCTGTTACTATCTCTGCAGAAATTGACAACATGGGTTTTCAGGTTCTGTTGATGATGTTGTAAATTGTATACATTCACGGATAGTTATGTGAAATACTACAGGTACAATGTATCAAGGACGAAAATATTGGCGTTAGAATGTCATAGGCCAATACCACGAGTACAGTTGACACACGCTTAAAATATGCAGTCGAAATCATGTTTAGTGTGATATTGTAATTTATACTTATAACGAAGTATGGATGAGACGAACTCATCTTCCAATCCAGTTTTAATGCTTCATATCCTTTAAACATTGATGCCTTTGTGATCCAATGTTAGGCTTATTTCTGATATACCTAACATCGATGTAACGTGTGACTGAGTGAGTATGGTTTTGCGCCGCTTTTAGCAATATTCCAGCAATATCACGGCGGGGGACATCAGAAATTGGGCTTCACGATGTAACGAAACAACTCATCTTATGAACGTGGCTGTGTCGAATGTATGACACAACAAACACAGCGTTATATGTATATACTTATGTCATATAACTCATGTTATTTAGATTATCAAACTGGTGTTTAGAACATTGATATACCGAACTTACACAGATGGACATATCAAACTTATGTCATAACGTATATTTATAGTCCTGCGACGTAACTAAATACCACATATGACGAATCAAGGGATGGATCGAGATATGTCGAACTAACGGATATGTCGAACTAAGCCCCGACATTATTAACTAATCCGTATAACCCTAAACTGGCGGATTTCATAGCAAGGCTTACCACCAGAAGGATCCTTTGAATGTACGGATGTATGGGGCTATATCTACACCCACACAATACTGTCAAGTTGTTTTGTTTGTTGTTTAACGCCGCACTCAGCAATATTCGAGCTATATAGCGGTGGTCTGTAAATAATCGAGTCTGGACCAGACAATTCGGTGATTAACAGTGATCATAGATCTATCCAATCATACGATGGCATGTTTCAACCAAGTCAGCGAGTCTGACCCCCCGATACCGTTGGTCACCTCTTATGACAAGCCTGGGTTACTGATAAAACAATCCAACCCTGATCTTCAGTACTATTATATCCTGTACAATACAATCAAGGGACAGTAGGTAGCCTAGTGGTTAAAGCGTTCGCTCGTCACGCTGAAGACCCGGGTTCGATTCCCCACATGGTTACAATGTGTGAAGCCCATTTCGCGTGTCTCTTGCCGCGATATTGCTGGAATAAAACCTTCTCACACAGTACTATCTCACTCTCGCATCAATTCCCCAACCTAATGGTATAACTAAATCTACCGGCTTCTATTCATATTCTATATTCTACTCATATGTAGAATATACGATTATTATGCAATAACCATGTACCTATGACTTTTTGACATGTTCTGCTATACTTCTAAGGGCGTCCTTCGGTATTTTTAGTGAATAATATTATTTGATGACCAAATGTACGAAATATGTGCAATACACCACTGACAGTAAGGAGGTGACATGATGTAGTACGCCTATCCAGGTACATGATGGAGGGAGATCTAGCATGATGCATGGTACTAATAGTAGGGCCGCGTAACAGGTAATGAATGATGATCTTCCCACCATGAAGTAATACATTCTTGGAATACGTATACAGAACCGTAGCAGGTGCCCGTCACTTGATTACTTTTGCTGAGATGAAAAGAAATATTTGCAACTTTGCATAGTAAATAATACCGTTATACGTTATTTATAGGGTCATTTAATCAACAAAACTTGTTTCATCACTGTAGCAAATGTGTTTGTGGGTCACTGACTGGATACAATCAGCGAGAGGAAATGCGGTATTCCCATGTATACAGGTTAGACATGTGTAGATAGATAGTTAAATGAGACTTTCTATAAGATAATCGCGTGGATGACAAGGAGGGCGGTCTTGTGCGAATAGTGATGGTGTGGAAATAGTTTACAAGTGTGAACAGTAGAGAGATGTAAGCCTACAGACTTTGGTAAAATATGACTTACGTATTTTCATCTGAGAGACAATTCGTGGATGGAGGGCGAGTTCAAATGAATTCCTCAATTTGCATTATTTTTGAAATTTATTTTTATTTCTTTGTTTCAGAGGAATGTTGAAGAGGAAGCTGGGGTGGGTATTATTCATCGTCTTGCTTTCATTCCTCATCGTGCTCTCGGTTTTTGATGACGTGTTCAGAAACGCCGTTGGTGTTGGCAGAATCTCATACAACGTTCCCCGATACCTTGACGAGAAGGACACCGCCCCGATCAACTGCCAGTACCTCTTCGAAGGCAGGAAAACTGAAATAGAGAGAGCCAAATACAAAATGGCCAGCGATTACGACTATTTGGCTAACTTAGACGACTCTTACATCAGAACAGGAACGAATGACTGTTCGAAGTTTAAGCAGGATCATGGATACATTATGAACGTTTCCAAGGAAGAGGAGGAGTTCCCCATTGCTTTCAGCATTGTTCTTTATAAAGACGCTCAGCAAGCGGAGAGGTTATTACGAGCTGTGTATAGGCCAAACAACCATTATTGTATACATGTTGACGCTAAGGCGTCGCCGTCAGTGCACGCCGCCATGAAGAAACTAACGGAGTGTTTCGACAACGTCAATATGGCGTCCAAGACGTTGGACGTTACGTGGGGCAAGTTTTCGGTGCTTGAAACGGAGCTTGTGTGTATTAGTGACCTGCTACACTTCAAGAAATGGAAGTATTTTATCAATTTAACTGGTCAGGAATACCCATTAAAGACGAATCTGCAGTTGGTGAAGATACTGAAGGCATACAATGGCGCCAATGATATTGATGGAACGGTCTCAAGGTAATGTCCGAGTGAATGTTCGGAGAGTTTGTAGCTGAGATATTGCATACAGGGGACATTAACATAATTGCCTTTGCATTGAACGTGTCTAGAGATTGAGTGAGTGAGAACGGTTTTACGCCGCTTTGAGCAATATTCCAGCAATATCATAGCGGGGGACACCAGAAATGGGCTTCACATATAGTACTCATATGGGGAATCGAACCTGGGTCTTTGGCGTGACGAGCCAACGCTTTAACCTCTAGGCTACCCCATCGCTACTAGAAAACTAAACCCTGGTTACTTCGCAGGAACTCACTAGACGCCAGGCCATCACATTCACAGTAGGCCTACGATCATATAATACTTTGCTACTGGTCCAATAGCCTTGGGCCAATGTCACATACGTTCTGAGAACTTGACAAAAAGAACCAGTGAACAGTTAGTATGAGATAGTTGTTGTTAGAACTTACGTTTTGTTGATTTTCGTCGCTTGTTCAAGACACCAGTAGCAGAGACTGTTTTCTCAACAGGAAGTCAAATGTGAATTATTAATTTTGTTTACAATACCTTATGCAAAATAACTTAGTCGTAAATAATCGAAAAGCCCACTCCAAAAATTTTAAGCTTGCTGGTCAAAGATCCTCTCTTATTGACTTCCTACCGTGATTAACGTCAGATGGCATTCCGAGTCGTACCCTCATACAAAGCTCCCAAACTGCCAGGCGCAAGGAAGTTTACACCCATGTTTGACGTTGGTTAAACATGAAAAAAATAGCGGTGTGTGGCCCTGTGCATAGAGCTCAGGTCACAAATCAGTTGAAGTTAAGCAGCGGCGAGTCCTTAGATGGGAGTCCGTGTTTGACAGCTTGACTCCTAAGAGTTTCTAGGACTTCAGTCCTGCCCCACAACGAATCACATGTGATACAAGTGGCCTCACCTTAAGCAAGTCAGTTTATACAAAACTGCCTCTGTTCACACAGCAGAAAATGGGTACCCGGTGGGATGAATCATGTGACTAATCTTATAAATAACCTAGCGCCACACAGGCAGGTTGGATTATCCAGATTGCTAGCGCTAAGCATCCATCTAGTGAATGGAGTTTAGCGCTTTGTAAATGCAGAACTATCATTATAAAAGAGATGGTTGGACCTGAGCTTGCAGTACATCAGCCTAGTAGTGCTTTGGTAACATTTGTAATGTTTTTGGTCAAATCGAGACTATACATCTGTGGCACGTCGGGGTATTTGACATGGTCCTAGGTTAACATTGGTTCCTTGACACCTTGATAAGGCAGACAGACAGACAGACAGACAGACAGACAGACAGGTTTATTTCATAAATGTGGCCATGAGGCCAATAGTATAAAATGACAACTTAGATTAAACTTTTTCAGAGCGCATGGACATGATTTTGTTCACAAGAAATGCTAGACGGAGTATTATATTATGGTTCTTAGTATTTAGAAGATGTACAAATGTTTGTTTATTTGGGTTCATAATATAGGTACTTGGTATATAGTGAGTTCTTACCGCTGCATAAAAAGGACATTTCATTAACACATGATACTTATCTTCTAGCACACTTTTACAATAATCACACAGAGCTACACTAATGTCATTGTCTTTAGATCTTCTATACGAAACTATTTTCAAATGGGTGGAGCCGCATCTGAATTTTGTTAAGACTCTGCGCAGATGTGACGAAGAGAGTGCAATCAAATATAATTTCAGAACAATATCAGATTTAAAGGCAGAATACATGTGTAATGATTTTGAGTTTCTTATATCTTGTGTCCATTCTTGGTAGTACATGTCTTTACAACGTTGTTTGAAAAGATTTAAAAACAATTCCCAGTTTCCAACATTTTGATATATCCATACATAAGCAAAGCCATGATGAAATAATATTAATCGTACTGCCGAAGCCCAGTTATTATCTCTATTGTCGTCTAAACATTTTAACACATCATACGAGCGACATGAGTAACGTGTGTCAGGTTGCCGAAGCAGACGTATCCAGAACGAAACAACTCGCGTCATATAATTTACATGTAAAGGATATCTTGATAAGGTCAATTGTATTGATGTACATATTGTCATACCAGAGACGATCCGGGTTAGAATTGGTCTTCAGCAACCCATGCCTGTCGTAGGAGGCGAGTAACGGGATCGGGTGGTCAGGCCTGTTACCTTGGTTGAAACATGTCATCGTATCCCAAATGCGTAGATCGATGCTCATGCTGTTGATCACTGGATTGTCTGGTCCAGACTCGATTATTTACAGACACCCGCATACAGCTTGTAAATATTTGAGGGTTGCGTTAAACTACAACCAACAAAACAAAACATAATGTCAGGAACATTCTGTTTGATTTCCCCGTTGTAATACACGTGACAAATGCCAGTATACTATGGTGGCTGATTAGGGCCATCGCTTTCTCGCCTTAAAATTCGGAGGCGAGGCTCGTGTTATCGCTTTCTCGTCTCGTGATATCGTTTTCTCGTGTTCTCGCCTCTGAATTTTAAGGCGAGAAAGCGATGGCCCTAATCAGCCACCATAGAATACCTATAAACTGAGACTCACGGAAAGCTGTTATTGCTTTGTTGAACGGGATCATTACTGTTCAAAGCCCTGCTATTATATCAACTGCAGTGCTGTTATTGGTAATATGCGTAAGGATACAATCTTTGTTGAACCCAGCTATCAATGCTTATAATGATTTTTCACTACACACGCTTAACAGTTAACAGTGTATATGCATGAGTGTAACGTTGTCTGAACATTGATGTTACGTGACCAGTCTTACCGCAGCTGTTATACCGTTAAGAAATACGTTTCTCTCCTAACGAAATAGGGCCTGTAAGTAGGTCACGGCACTTCGCTCGACCTTAGTACTTCCGGTGACAGACAACGTTTCATATCTTTTCTAATGGTCTCATTGTTGTCAGTTGACAGTAAGAAACCGATAATCCTTGCACGAATAAAAAAAGTCCGATCTAACCATCCCCAAATTAGCCAACTATTACAACTGTCAACATCTGTGACAGCCAGGCATGGTTGTACACTTGGTCCGGTCTAGTAAACTCATATTTGGCGGTCACGCAATTTGGAACCAGAGCTGGTTCTTGAGTATATGCTTGTCACCTGAAAACTGGTACCGGGAGTAATAGTTGTTACATTGGGTTAACATGATATAAAGAAAAGGAGCCCCGAGCCTCTCTTCTTGGCCTGAAACTGTAGTTATCTAGACTTGACTTGTCAACTATTGTAGACTTGCATGAGCATAAATTTTGAAGAAACGTAGCACAATTCTTGAATGATTTGGCAGGCCTTGGTTCTGTCGGCGGTAGAAAATTATGTGTTGTTCTGGGATATATTTGGATTTTACGTTTACATAATTTATATATGTTTGTTAATGAGATAACTTTATTTCTGTATAAAGGTTAGTCTATGTACGGCTCATCTAGCACTGAGTGAATGAGTACGGCTTTACGCCGCTTTATGCAATATTCTAGCAATATCACGGCGGGGCACACCAGAAATGGGTTTCACACATTGTACCTATGTGGAGAATCGAACTCAGGTCATTGGTGTGTCGAGAGAACGCTTTAGCCACTAGGCTACCCTATCTAACACTGATGTAACATTCCACACCAACACCAGTCTAAGTAAACTTAGGCTCAGTATTATTCGTTACACTACTATACTGAGTCTAACAAACCCTAGTAGAAAGTCGCGTCAGCTATCCTTTTGGACTGACCAATCAGAACACAGCCTACCAAATCGCGAAAAGTTAACATTCGCATATACCGTTTGAACCTTTACCTAAAAAACTCGAACGATTCCGAATGCTATTTTCCGCACGATCGTTTCCGAGTGATACACGCAATGAGTAAACAGTCGCTGAAAATAGCGTTTTTGTCAATATTCAAGGATGTCATCTTGCGAAAATATAAGCAAATAGTAACCATGTCATTAGAAACCCATAAGCGTATATACTGCAGGTCAAATATCTGTGTTTTATGCGGATTTTCGCTTGTTGATAGATAAGTCCCGCCGAACCCTAACAAGTAGTCTTTGTCTGATTGGTTAAATCCGTTCGGCCGTCTCGCGGTCGCTCAAAGGGTTAGCTGACGCGACCTTCTACAAGGTTTTGCTAGATTCAGTATAGCAGTGTAACGAATAATACTGAGCCTAAGTTTACTAAGACTGACACCAACACAATCGATATCTCAAAGTTGTTAGACAAGCTGTCTGTGTAATTTCGTTGTATCGAAAATGAATACAATCGAGCAGTTCCGAATGCTATAGCATAAAGCAACACACACAATATTGAGGATATCTTATAGGCCCTGCCCTTGTGAGTGTCATTGTATCTGAATACTATAATGATAATTCGTCGTATTCTGTGTGGCTATCTAAGTTCTGAATGGAGATGTTAAGGTCTTTCGTAGAAGTTGGATGGACAAAAAAAGTATGAAATGAGGTTCGGGTCGGGTCTACGTCTTGCCTAGAATATCGAGAAGCGTGTTGAGCTGCTATAACCTCATCATTTTTAATTTAGATTGGTCGACCCAGATTACCTCCGAGTATCTAGCCGGACCTCATTTGACTGTGTCTCCGGTTCTCTACAGAGAAATATGGTATCAGTGTAAGTGATGTGTAGACTGGTCGTGGTTTCGAATCAAACACGAGTCGATTCTTACCAATGGTCTCTTAGCGTCTCATTCATGCTCGACCCGTGAAGGTCCTGGTTAGAATTGATCTTCAGTAACCAATGCTTGTCGTAAGAGGCGACTAACGGGATCGGATGGTCAGGCTCGCTGACTTGGTTGACACATTTCATCGTATCCCAATTGCGTAGATCGATGCTCATGCTATTGATCACTGGATTGTCTGGTCCTGACTCGATTATGTACAGACCGCCGCCATATAGCTGGAATATTGTGAGTTCGGCGTAAAACTCAACTTACTCACTCACTCATTCATGTTCATCATTTGCAGTTGTAAACGTTTAG